ATGGACGCCTGGGCCTGGCTCTCCGTGGTCTCTGGCCGGGGTAGCAGGCCCATCGGTGGTCCTGACCGCCTACCGTGCTTCTTGTCTTGCAGACTTCTCCACCCAGGTGAACTCCTCCCCCCTCACCTCGCCCACGGGCCGGGGCTCCATGGCCGCCCCCTCGCTGCACCCCTCACTGGGGCCCGGCCTCGGCGCCCCGCTCGGCTCCCCGGGACAGTTGCACTCGCCCATCAGCACGCTGAGCTCCCCCATCAACGGCATGGGCCCGCCCTTCTCCGTCATCAGCTCCCCCATGGGCCCCCACTCCATGTCCGTGCCCACCACGCCCACACTGGGCTTCGGCACCAGCAGCCCGCAGGTAAGTGGGGGCGGGAGGCTGTGGCGTCACGTGGCCCCGGGGCCCCCTCATCTCCGGGAAGTGGAGCCTCAGAGAGGCGGCCTTGGCCTGGGTTCGAGCCTGGGCCTGGCTGACCCTTGAGCCCGTGGCCCTCAGAGGTCACCACTCCAGCACGGCCCCCTCCTGTCGGGGGTGCCCTGCTCGCGTGGCTTGGAGCTCTGCAGGGTGGGGAGTCCGTGTTCTCAGGCTGACACCCACCTCCCTGGGGCCCATGTCCTCTCAGCAGCCCCTGTGGCCCCTTCTTGGGCTTGTCCTTCCTCTCCCGTCTCTGCTCATTCCCAGGCCCTGTGGCCTCAGTTCTCCCGCCCAGACCCCGCCGGGCAGATGTGCCGGGTGCAGTGCAGACGTGTCCCTGCTGGGGCGCTTGGCCTCGGGCCTGTCTAGGCGGGGCTGGCGGAGCAGCTCGCTGGCTTTCCCGGGGCGACCTCGTCACCCCTGTGCACCTGGGGCTGGGGGTCCCCTGGCCTTCCGGAAGCTGGCAGAGGCTGCGGGATGGAGGAGGCTGTTTGGTGAAGCTGCCACCCCCCTTCTTGCTGGCTGCCGGGGCACACGAAAGGGCAGCTGAGACTGCAGCCCGGGCAGTGGGGTGCCTACGCCCTCAGAGCCCCGTGAGCTTGGTGCTTACAGACCTGCCGCCCGGCCTGGCACCCCGGAGCTGTGCACTGGGGGAACCTGCAGTGGGCTGTCAGGGGTGGGGCCTAGGGTGCCCGCAGACCTCGGGGTGCCTGGTGGCCCCTGACCCTGTTAGCCTGCCTGGGGCAGGGATGGGTGGAACTGGTGGGGGTTCCAGGGCCGCCTCTGCTCTGCCCTCTGTTCCCTGCACGCCCCGCGTTCCTGGCGCGGACGGTGCTTGTTGAATCTGGACTGTGAGCGAAGGGCCCAGCCGCTCCGGGTGGACGAGGGGTCCAGGCAGGGGTTGGGCCAGGAGGGGGAGGGGAGAGCGACCGTGTGCCCAGAGGGTCGCCGCTGTCCTGCTGGTCGGCTGTCGGTCTGTGTTTCCAGGCGGTGGGGCTGCACTTGGCTTTGTG